TCGGTATGATGCCACCAATTAAACCATCTAATTATGGAAAAATCTCTCCAATTTGTAAAACCCTAAAAAAAAAGACTGAGTTTGAATTTTTCCTTAATTACGCCAGTATTTAACAGTAAACTTTGTTGTATGGAAAACTCAGCTCACTGTCCCATATATTCATTGACTTTCTTTTTACATCAAGAGAAAAATGTGTTTAAACTTAACAAAAGTTTAAACAAGACTTAACAAAAAATATATACATTCTACAAATCAAGAATCACCACTCAGTATATTTACTAATTATATTTTTTAAGGATTAAAAGATTCCTTTACAAGCAGAGAATAATATTATTAGAGTTAAATATTACTTTCTGCAAATGTCTGAAGTTGTTACTCTTAGGTTGATAGGAATCTTCTATATTAGAGTATCACCAGTTTGTGGAGTGAATGGGAAGAATAGAAACTTATCTCTCACTTCTGCTAAAACGTCAATTCCCATCTCACTGCTGGCCTCTCTTTCCTCATCTGTCCCAGGAGAGGAGATGGACGTAGGGGAAGATTGCTTCAAAAGTGGTCTCAGGGGGCACCTGGGTGGCTCAGTGGGTTAAGCCGCTGCCTTCGGCTCAGGTCATGATCTCAGGGTCCTGGGATCGAGTCCTGCATCGGGCTCTCTGCTCAGCAGGGAGCCTGCTTCCTCCTCTCTCTGCCTGCCTCTCTGCCTACTTGTGATCTCTCTGTCAAATAAATAAATAAAATCTTAAAAAAAAAAAAGTGATCTCAGTATTTTCTCTCTCCCCAGGCCCTTTGCAATGTGACTTAACCACTTCTCCCACCCAGCGGCAGAATTAGTATCTCCATCCCTTCCATCTTAGCTGGCTTTAGTATTTGCTTTCACCAACAGAGTGCAGTGCAAGTAATGGGTTGTGGCTTCTGAACCTCTCAGTCTTGAGTGACCTTGCAGATTCTGCTCTTGCCCCTTGTATGCTGCGACTGCATTAGGAAGCCCATTAACAAGGACAGAACCCAGGAGAGAAAGGCCCAACCCAACAACCAAAGCTAACCACCAACTGTACAACAGAGGTCACCTTAGACCATTCAGCCCCAGTAGAGCTGCCGATGACTGCAGCTACACGTGTGATCCAGACAAGACCAGCAGGAAGAACTTCCACTGAGACTTGTGCAAAGTGATGTCCCATGGGATTTTTTCTTTATTGAGACATAATTTGCAGGTAGCATTGTGCAAATTTAAGGTGATTTAATGTATTTATATTTTGCAATATGAGTACCACTGCAGCTTAAGTTAATATGTCTATAAATGTCACAAAATTACCACTTCTTTTTTTGTGGTGAGAACAACTTAAGAGTCTCTTTGAGCAATTTTGAAAGATATAACATCAGATTGTTGACTCTAGTCATTATTCTGTGCATCAGATCTCCAGAACTTACTCATTTTCTAACTGCAAGTTTGTGTCCTTTAACGACATCTCCCCAATTCCCCTGTGCATGAACCTCTGGTAACCACCATTCTACTCTGTTTCTATGAGTTTGGCTTTTTTAGATTCCACATATAGGAGATATTATACAATATTTGTCTTTGTCTGGCTTATTTTACTAAGCACAAAGTCCATCCATATTGTTGTAAGTGGCAGGATTTCCTTCTCCTCCATGGCTGAATAATATTGCATTGTATATGTGTACGTCAACTTCTCTATCCATTACCTTTTGACAGACACTTAGATTGCTTCCATATTTTGGCTATTGTGAATAATGCTGCAATGAACATGGGAGTACAGATATCTTTTTAAAATGCTGTTTTCATTTCTCTTGGATATATATATCCAGAAGTGGGATTGCTGGATTATATGATAGTGGTATTTTTAATTTTTTTAGGAAACTCCACACTGTTTTACATAGTGGTTACATCAGTTTACATTCCCACCAATGATCCATAGGGCTTCCTTTTCTCCATCCACATCACCACTTATTATCTCTTACCTTCTAGATGATAGCCATTCTCACAGAAGTGTTGTGACACCTTATTGTGGTTTGTATTTGCAGTTCCCTGGTGACTAGTAATGTTGAGTATATTTTTATGTATGTGTTGGCCATTTGGATATCTTTTTTGGAAAAACGTCTATTTATTTCTCTGCCTATTTTTCATTGGTTTGTTTGGTTTCGTTGTTACATTATATGAGTTCTTTATATATTTTGGATATTAATCCCTTATGTATGTATCATTTGCAAATATTTTCTCCTGTTCCAAAGGTTAACTTTTCATCTTGTTGATTTTTTGTTTGTTTGTTTGTTTTTTCACTGTGCAGAAAGTATTTTTAGTTTGATGTGGTCCTCCTTACTGATTTTTGCTTTAGTTGCTTGAGCTTTTGGTGTCATATCCGAAAAATTGTCAAGACCAATGTCAAGGAGCTTTTTCCCAATGTTTCTTCGAGGAGTTTTAAAGCATATGGTCTTATGTTTAAGTCTTTAATCAATTGTTGTGAATGGTAGATAATAGGGATCCAATTTTATTTTTCTGCATGTTATTATCCAATTTTCTTAGCACCATTTGTTGAGGGGAATATCCTTTCCCCATTGAGTGTTCTTAGCTTCCATGTCAACACTTCGTTGACAGTATATGTTGGGGTTTATTTCTGGACTCTCTATTTTTTTCCATTGGTCTATGTTTCTATTTTTATGCCAATATCATGTTGTTTTAATTACTAGAGCTTTGTAGTATAGTTTGAATTCAGGAAGTGTGATGACTTCAGCTTTGTTCTTCTTTCTCAAGATTCTTTGACTATTTGAGTCTATTCTGGTTTAATACAAATTTTAGGATTGTTTTTCCTATTTCTGTGAAAAACGCCATTGCAATTTTGATAGGGATTGCACTGAATCTAAAGATGGCTTTGGGTAGTATAGACATTTTAACAATATTAATTCTGCTTATCCACAAACACAGATCATTCCATGTGTGTCTTCTTCAATTTCTTTCATCAAAGTTTTGTAGTTTTCATTGTACAGATCTTTCACTTCCTTGGTTAAATTTATTTCTAAGTATTTTATTATTTTTGATGCTATTGTGAATGGGATAGTTTTCTTTATTTCTTTTTCAGACATTTTATTATTAGCATATAAAAACACAATTGATTTCTGCATGTTGATTTTATATCCTGAAACTTGATTGAATTCATTTATTAGTTCTGGCAGTTTGGGGTTGAGTTTTTAGGATTTCCTACATGCAAGATTATATCATTTACAAATCATGACAATTTTACTTCTTCCTTTCCTATTTGGATGTTTTTTGTCTCTATATCTTGCCTGATTACTCTAGGGAGGACTTCCAATACGATTTTTAAATGGGAGTGGTGAGGGTGGGCACCCTGGTCTTATTCCTGATCTTAGAGAAAAAGCTTTCAATCTTCCACCATTGAGTATAATGTTGGCTGTGAGTTTGTCACATATGGCTTTTAAGATGCTAAGATGGGTTTCATTTGTATCCGATTTGTTGAAGTTTTTTGTCATGAAAAGATGTTGTATATTGTCAGAAGCTTTTCCTGCATCTATTGAATGATCACATGGCTTCTATCTTCTATCTTATTAATGCAGTGTGTCACATTTATTGATTTGTGTATGTTGAAACATCCTTGCATCCCAGGAATAAAACACTGAATGTATTGTTGAATTCAGTTTACTTGTATTTTGTTGAGTTTTTGCATTTAGATTCATTAGGGATATTGTTCTATAGGGTTTTGTTTTTGTTGTTGTTGTTTTTAGTATACTTATCTGGCTTTTGGTGTTAGAATAATGCTGGCCTCATAAAGTGAAAATGAATGAAAGAGTTCCCTCCTGTTCAATTTTTTGGAAGGGTTTGAAAAAGATTGTAGTTAATTATTCTTTTAAAATTCGGTAAAACTTACCAGTAAAGCTATCTGCTCTTGGGCTTTCCTGTGTTGGGAGGTTTTTGATTACCAATGCAATCTTCTTACTTATTGTTGGTCTATTAAGATTTTCTATTTCTCCCTGATTCAGTCTTGGTAGGTTGTATGTTTCTAGGAATTTATCCATTTCTTCTGATTTATCTAATTTTTTAGTCTATAATTACTCATAGTAGTCACTCATGATGCTATTTATTTCTGTAATACCAGTTATACTGTCGCCTGTTTCGTTTCTGATTTTATTTGAGTTTCCTTTTATTTTTTTTTTTTACTTAGTTGGTCTAGCTAAAGGTTTCCCAATTTTGTTCATCTTTTTAAAAAACCAGATTAGTTTCATTGGTTTTTCTAGTGTTTTTCTGGTCTATATTTGTTTCTGCTCTAATCTTTGTTATCTTCCTTCTCCAACTTGGGCTTAGTTTGCTCTTTTTCTAGTTCCTGGAGGTATAAAGTTAGGTTGTTTGAGATCTTTCCATTTTCTTAGCATATGCATTTTATTGCTATAAACTTTCGTCTCAGAACTGCTTGTGCAGTATCCCGTGTGTTTCCATTTTCATTTGTTTTGACATTTTTAAAATTTACTTTTTATTTCTTCTTTGACCCATGGATTGACCCATGGATTGTTGAGGATTGTGGTCTTCAGTTTCCACATGCTTGGTAAATTTCCAACTTTCCTCTTGTTGTTGATTTCTAGTTATACTCTTGTGGTTGGAAAAGATACTTTCTATGATTTCAATCTTCTTAATTTACTAAGACAGGATTTGCAGCCTACCATATGATCTATCCTGGAGAATGTTCTGTATGCATTTGAGAAGAATGTGTATTCTGCTGCTGATGAATAGAATGTATGTGTCTGTTAGGTCCATTTGGTCCAATACATGGTTCAAGTTCAACATTTTCTTTTTGATATTCTCTCTGGATGGTCTATCCATACCTGAAAGTAGGGTATTGAAGTTCCCCTACTATTATTGTACTGTTGTCAATTTCTCCCTTCAGAATTGTTACTATTTATTTGCCTAATATATTTAGGTGGGCTGATGTTGTATATATATTTATAACCATTCTATCTTCTTGATGAACTCACCCCTCAATAATATAGAATGTTTGATGAATTTGTATGTCATCCTTGTGCAGTGGTCCTGCTAATCTTCTCTGTATTGTTCTGATTTTAGTTTATGTTTTGCTGAAGCAGACACAACCCATGGTATTGTGAACATATAAAATTGTTGTTGTTTTAAAGCCACTAAATTTCCAGTGGATTCTAAACAGCAATAAATAACTGATAAAGACTTAATCTGATTGATGAGACTAGAAAGAGAGGTTGAGGATTCACAGTCCAACCTCTTTCTCTCATTCTTCTTTTGGGAGTAAGCAACCCACTGAGAATCCATGTTCTCTTTTTGTCATCCAGGCCATAAACCTTACAGGATTGAGATGCACTGATACGTATTTTTTCCAAATGTTAACAAGCCAGGAGTTAAAGTCAGTATTTGGCTCAAATCAAGACCAAAACCAAATACTGCCATAAGGAAAAGAAGTAGAAATCAAGAAGACATCTAAAAATAATTTTAAAAATTAGCGTAATATTTTAGCACTCACAAATTAGAAGATGATTAATGAAATAAAAATGTTTTAAGTATTTTTTCTAAAAAATATTCCCCACTTTCCTTTCTTTTTACATTCTTTATTATGTCAAAATTAAAAGTAATTTATCAAGATTTTGAATTTTTTCCTTCTCAGGAAATTTTAAGGTGACAAAAACTATAATTTAATTCATTCTCACAAGATGTGAAAAATTCCCAAATAAGACTTTTTATTGAAAACACATAATATCTTTGTATGGATTTTGGCCTTGACACATTTCTGTTACTCATTTTTATGTGAATTTCATTTTCCTGATTATCAGAAGGATATTTGTTCTAACAACTCTGTGTTTCTGTGCAGTGTTAAGTGTTTATTTTAATTTTTAAGACTTTATTTATTTGACAGACAGAGAGAGAGCAAGAGAGGGAACACAAGTGGAAGAGTGGGAGAGGGAGAAGCAGCCTTCCTGTTGAGCAGGCAGCTGGATGCAGGGCTCTATCCAGGACCTTAGGATCATGACCTGAACTAAAGGCAGATGCTTAATGACTGAGCCACCCAGGTGTCCCCTTTTAAAAAAAAACTTTTTAAGGTGATTTTTCTGAGTAGTTTCTGGTTTTGATTTTGTGTTTTTGTTTTTGTTTTTTGTTTTGTTTTCTTTGCTCTATTTATCTGCCCCACTTTCTTTAATCTATGTTGTTCCTTCCTAATGAATATTGATTTAGCCTCCCCTATTTTGCCTGAGTGTGAGCTCCTTGGAGGGTGGGAAGGTGATGCTGCTAAGATGTCAGCTGGCTTACTGCAGGGCCCCTTGCCTCATCTGCTAATCTAGGGACAGATCACTCTCATTTCTGCTATTGCTCTCACTGGCCACCGTGCCTCCCCATGAGTGGCCATTTTGGGTTCTCCTACTGTCAGGGTGTCAATCATTCCATGGCTTCTCTATGTTTTCTCCTAAACAGATACTGATCATGTGTTGGTCTTGTGGCTCTTGCTGGTTTGCATTGTGGTGTTCCTGGAGCACCTTGTCACCTAGTTTTCTTGTAAATGCTGTCCATTTTTCTTTTTACTTTTTTTTTTTTCCATTTCACTGTATTTCTTATGTTGGAATTTAGGAAGATCTAAAAGCTACGCCTCTTCCACCACTGCCATCTTCACAGAATTTAATAAAAAGAGTTTTATCACAAGTTCAATCTTGACTGCCCATAGGAGTAGGCATCTGTCCTTTGTATCTTCTGGCAAAATAACCAGGGTTAAGTTCAAACTTAGGTGCATCTCTGTATATCAGTGATGAATCTATGATCTGGCTACCCTGGCCCCAGAAGGGTACGTTGAATCCTGGGCTGCATATTAGGAAGCCCACATGCACATAGATAGAAACTGTGTTCTCTAGCCCTGCCCTTACCAGGTTTAAAAAAAAAAAAATTAAAGTTTATCTCCAAATGCTAACCAACTCCTTTATATCACTTCTTGATTACTTCAGAACTTGGACAGGAAGAATTTGTCCCTTTATTATATGAAAAATAAACTAGGAGTAAAGTATTAGCACTTTAGCACATGTATCCTTAACATGGAGATTGAGACATCTGGCAGGGCTGCAGAGGGTAACTTTAAGTTTTGGTGGCTCTTACTAAGTGTTACAGGTTGAATTGTGTCCCCCCAAATAAGATAGGTTGAAGTTCTGACCCTCAGTACCTCAGAATGTAAACTTATTTGGAAATAGGATAGTTGTAGATGTAATTATTAACTCATTACATGAGGTTATACTTGAATTGAGTGGAGCCCTACTCCAGTGGGGGCTGATGTCCTTATGAGAACATGACTGAGAGAGAATGCCACGTGGCAACAAAAGTAGATTGGAGGTATGTAGTTCCAACACAAAAGATTGCCTACAAACCACCAGAAGCTAAAAAGAGGCGAAGGATTCCCTTACAGGTTTCGAAGGGAGTATAGGTGGGCTGACACTGATTTCAGACTTCTAGACTCCCCAACTCTGAGGCAATAACTTTTGTTGTTTTAAACGATCCAGTTTATTGTGTTATGGTCCCCTAGGCAATGAATACTCAAAAGGCTAATGGGGGCTTCATATTTTCAGACTCTTCAGTCTGTATCAAACAATGCTGGTTTTTTAGCTAACATCTCTTCTTTTTTTTTTTTTTTTTTTGAAGATTTTATTTATTTTTTGGCAGAGAGAGAGACAGTGAGGGAGGGAACACGGGCTCGATTCCAGGACCCTGAGATCATGACCTGAGCTGAAGGCAGATGTTTAATGATTGAGCCACCCAGGTGCCCCGTTGACGAACACCTCTTGAAGAAAATCTTTTTCCATTAATTGAATGTTTGCCTTAGTCACACCAACTAAGAAAAGGCTTGTGAAGCTCAAGTTCAGTGTCAAATTATAGTAGTTTATTACTTAAAGAATTACTTAGAGAATTTACTAAGTAATATGATGTAAGTGAACTTGAGGACAATGTTGGGGAACTATAAATTTAAAAAATCTCCTACCAACCAAGAGCAATTCGCCACAAAAGTAGAAGGGAAAAACAGTTCTATTTTGAATAAGGGTTAAGCCAGAATGTGATGCGTATCTCAAGCAATCCACTGAAAGATTGCAAAAACAGAAAGAAATCTCACCTTCTTATATAGCCAGGCAGATACAGTTCATTCCATAAAAGTTGCAGGATAAACAATAACTAGTACTCAAATAAGAGGGCTTGGCAGTACTATTTGTCACACAGAGTTCACCGCAAGGTTAAATCTGGTAATTAGGGTGACCATCTATGTTAGTTAATTGGCTCTATCCAAAGAAAAACTAACTTGTCATATCTATGTGACAAGAGATCATTTTGTGATTTGGAACAAGGTGCCCACTCAATTTAAGCTCCTACTTTCCCAAAGAAAATGGGAAATAAGGTTTCTATCTTTTTTAACATTTACATCTCAAAGAGATGGCTTCCTAGTACTTAGGAAACATTAAACTTTCAAATAAATTATAGCAGTGCTAGATTTAAATGAAATAGCATTAATTCTTCTTTGTATGCTTCTGGTTCCTGTAAGAATGACTTATTAAATCAGTTTGCCAGTCTGAGTTCTCAGACTCTGCCAATGAATTCCCTTGGACATTGATTCTTAGCAGTTGAGAAAATACTGTCAAAAGTAATAGGAGCACCTGGGTAGCTCAGCTGGTTAAGTGTCTGCCTTCATATCAGGTCATGATCCCAGGGTCCTGGGATTGAGCTCTATGGCTAGTCTCAGACTCCCTACTTAGGAGGCAGTCTGCTTCTTCCTTTCCCCCACCCTGCCCCCTCTAGTGCTCTCTCTTTTGCATTCTCTCTCAGTTAAATAAAATCTTTAGCAAAAGTAATTAATGTATATCAACACTTTCATAACTTTATCTTGTGAAATGCTCCATGAAATAAAAGAGTTTCATGGTTGTGGCAAAGATTCTTCATAGTCCTCTTCTTCTCTATCACAAAAATAGAATTTTTAACCAGGCATGTGGCTACACAGAATGAATACTATATATTTTTAACCTTGTTTTTCAAGTAGGTGAGATCATAGAAGTAAGTTCAGGCCAATAGGATATAATCAAAAGTTGCGGGGCACCTGGGTGGCTCAGTGGGTTAAGCCTCTGCCTTCAGCTCAGGTCATGGTCTCAGGGTCCTGGGATCAAGCCCCACATCGGGCTCTCTGCTCAGTGGGGAGCCTGCTTCCTCCTCTCTCTCTGTCTGCCTCTCTGCCTGCTTGTGATCTCTGTCTGTCAAATAAATAAATAAAATCTTTAAAAAAAAAAAAAGTCGCTTTGCCACTTTTAGGAAGTATCCTTAATAGGTTAGGGGATTCTCTTCTTTTCATTTCCTCCTTCCTGCTGGATGGATTGTGGATGCAGCTATGTGGAACCATGAAGTGATCTTAACAATGGAAGACTGAGCCATGATACCCGAAAGAGCCAAAGTTGCTCCAGATTATGTATCTGTGGAATTTTACTTAAGAAAAAAACCAAAAAACAAAACAACTTTTATCTAGTTTAAGACATTGAGACACTTATATTTTAGATTTTTTTTCTGTCACTCCTAGTTGAACTGAATCTTAATATAATAGTCAAATATATCTGGGAAATTCTGCATATCTTATCTCGCTCTATTAAGGGATATTGACATATAAAGACTCCCAAAAGACCTGCAGCAAAATAATATTTTTAATTTTTTTTAAAGATTTTATTTATTTATTTGACAGACAGAGAACACAAGCAGACAGAGGCAGGCAGAGAGAGAGAGGAGGAAGCAGGCTCCCCGCTGAGCAGGGAGCCAGATGAGGGGCTTGATCCCAGGACCCTGAGATCATGATCTGAGCTGAAGGCAGAGGCTTTAACCCACTGAGCCACCCAGCCACCCCTAATATTTTTAATTTTGTTTAATACTCTATTCCCAGTATTTTCTTTTCTTTTTTTTTTTTTTTACTAACACACTACAAGGAGAGTTAATTTCCATGTTATTAGTACATAATAGCAGGCCCTGCTACAAATACATTTGATTTTCTATAACAACACAACTTTGCTAGTTTTGTTGACATATGAACAACTAGGATCTCCATACCCCTGAGATGTAGTCTAA